GGAAATATAGAAATTCGATTAACTGTATATTCAAATACAAATTATGATTGTATATGGAAATATAGAAATTCGATTAACTGTATATTCAAATACAAATTATGATTGTATATGGAAATATAGATATTCGATTAACTGTATATTCAAATACAAATTATGTTTGTATATGGAAATATAGATATTCGATTAACTGTATATTCAAATACAAATTATGTTTGTATATGGAAATATAGAAATTCGATTAACTGTATATTCAAATACAAATTATGTTTGTATATGGAAATATAGATATTCGATTAACTGTATATTCAAATACAAATTATATTTGTATATGGAAATATAGAAATTCGATTAAATGTATATTCAAATACAAATTATGTTTGTATATGGAAATATAGAAATTCGATTAACTGTATATTCAAATACAAATTATGTTTGTATATGGAAATATAGAAATTCGATTAAATGTATATTCAAATACAAATTATGTTGCACATAATCATTTAGAAACAAACAAAAATTACTACAGTTTATTATACGATTGTTTCATCATATAATAAATAGTATAAAAGCAATTGTATAATAAAATGTATTAATTATTTGTTTGTTTGAAAATGATTTTGTGCTTATATTAAGTAAAAACCAATTAGCCCTCTCTTTCAAATTTATATTATTTTTAATCTCTAAAGTTTTAAGCGAATAAATGTTTGGATGAAATGGCGTGGTTCACATATTACGTTCGCATTTTTTAAAGAAATCTAGACCCATTCCCTCCCCTATGTTCGCAATTGTTCATATGTAGTCATTAAAAAAAATTACGTTCGCATGTCCCTAACCGCTACCCCCACCACATGAAATAAGATATTATCTAAATGCGAACGTTCTTAAAGTCGCTACCCCTCCCCTCCCCCTCGTTCGCAAAAGTTCACAATGGCTAAACCCCCCTCCCCTCAAGTGCGAACGTAATATGTGAACCACGCCTATTATTATTTTTTATTATTTTTATTAAAATCTGTACTGTACTTATCGATGGGGTTAAACTAATAGTTAAAATTATTAATTATTTTAATTACTTTATATTTTTTATATATATTTTTAATATTTAATTGTTTTGAATAAAATCGACTAATTTTTCATTAGAAATTATTTTAATGAATTTACTACTCAATAATTTATAGATAAATATAAATTGATATTTTATTTTTATTATTGTATTGAAACATCTATTGTTTATCTAATTATGTTTATTATCCATCAAGTTTTTTATTGTTGATTAGTTGATACAACAATAATAATAATATGTTAACTATTTTGTGATAAACTTTTTGTTGTTGTAATAAATTTATCTATAATCAAGATAATACTTTAAGATAATAGTTCTGTATTTATGCATGCGTGCACATTTCATCAACAACCATATTTTAATTCAAATGTAAAAATGTATTGTTATATTTTCAATTTTTATTTAAAGTTATGCTATTTCTATGGAAAATTTTAAATGATTATTGAGCTCAGGTAGATTATAGGGACATGTAGGCAGGTGCTGTGTAATAACATATTGTTGTATTGTATGAGTCTCCGGGCACCGGGAGGTTAGTTACCTGTGCTAAATTTCTGTAAAATTTTCTCAAATGCAAATATTTTCAATGTGTTAAAATTTTCAATTTTTATTTAAAGTTATGCTATTTCTATGGAAAATTTTAAACGTTTATTGAGCACTGGTAGTTTTTAGGGACAGGTAGGCAGGTGTTGTGTAATTACACTTTGCTATATTGTGTGAGTCTTAGGGCTCCGGGAGGTAAGCTACCTGTTCTAAATTTTTGTAAAATTTTCTCAAATGCAATTTTTTTTCGCAAAAACGATTAAATTTCAATTTTTATTAAAATTATTTAAATATAAAAACTAAAAATTCTCAAAAGTTTAGACGACATAATGTGTATTGGTTCAGTAGTTTTGCTACATTAGGTTATGTAGTAGTTGTATAGATAAATTAAGTCTCATTCAAATTACTTATGATGAATATTTTAAAATTACTAAAAGAATTGCACGTCTATACATGTAGCGCGGGAAAAACTAGTTATATTTGTCATTTTATATCTAAATAAACACATTAAAATTTATTAATTAAACTAACCTCAAATAAATAATTTATATAAATATAAAGTTTTTTTTAAATAGTTTTATAATCTATAGCTAAAATAATACCCCAGTTATACAATATGTAGTTTAATTTTTTTTAATACTTATCTAATTTTAAACATATATTTCAAAATTTTTATGATAAAAAATTTTGTATGAAAACTTAATTAGGTTTTAGATTTTTTTAAAATCAATTTTTAGCAATTTAATTATGAATAGTTGTAAAAGTTATTAGAAATTGTATTTATATTTATATAACAATTATTACTTAACAATAATTAATGATAAAATTGTTAAAATAATTTTTATAATTATCAGTTTAATTACATTAATTATTAAATACATTAATTGAACTCATAATATTAAAATAGCTAATTATATTATAAAAACTTTATTACACTTATCACAAGTTATTTAAATAATTTATTTTTTTTAAAAACTTACAAATTATATTTACATTAGTAGAGTATTATATCATAAACTATAAACAATGTTATAAAATCTAAAAAAAATAATTAATAAAAATAAAATATATTTACAACAATTAATTGTTTTTATGATCTGAAAGTACAGTTAAGAATAAATAGACAAATAAAAAGGTTTTTATAATTAAAAACATAATAAATTATCCATAAAATTGCGGTTCATATCAAAAGAAAATTGAATTTTAAATGGAAATAATAAACAAACAGTTATTAGTAAAACAAATAATATATTATATTTATATATATAATATATTTATATCACCGGAAAAAGTAATTGAGATAAAAGTTTATCATTGAATCGATAGTTTGATTCCTGTTTTTATTTGACTCACTTTAGTATTTATATAATTGTAAATACAATGAATTGATAAGAAAAACAATAAGATATTATTCCTTATAATAATAATAATAATAATTGTTTGTTTGACTAACAATTATAAGATATTAAAAATATTTTGTTTGAAATCAAATGTACTGTATTTTTTCAAAAGTGCGTTCAAAAAAAAAAGTAAAATCAATTCAAAAGTATTGAAATATATATATAAATACAGTCAACAACAAAAAAAATCTAAAGTTAATGTAATTTTATTTTTTTTTTAAATTACTTAATAATAATTAATGTCTCAGAAAAGTTCGTGCGATATGACGGCCGAAAATTGGCGTCTATTGGGACAAGAATTGCTTCAGTTTGTCCTTAAATCAACTGAATCTCTGCATAATGTCATCAATAAAGCCAAAGAATCGGCAAAACCATTGAGAAAACGAAAGTCGGGTTTGAAACGCAAAAATAAAACTAATAATAATAATAGTTTTAGGGATAAGCCTATCAAACGAAGATCTAATTCAAAAGTAAGTCTATTAAACATTTTTTTTTTTGAAAACAATTATAACTTTTTATATAACAATTTATGTATATTTTTAAAAAATATTATTATAATTATATATTATAACTGTATATATAATTTGTAGGACAGCTGTTCATCCAGTGATCAGAGTATGATATCTTGTGATGACATCAATACGGATATCACTTATAAATCAGACATAACTTTCAATACCACTAATTGTGTCACCACTACTGTCACCACAGTTGCCGATGTTTATCAATCGATGGATTATCACTGTCTGGATTCGTGTAAAGAGTTATATGATATACCAATGGATGAACTGTTGTCTTCGCCCACTTGGAAACAAATAGTTCATCAAAATTCATTTATTTGGCCATAAATTTTTAGATAATAATATTATATTATTGTATTGTATATTAATTTAAATAATTTTGTGATTTTGTTTTAAATAATGTAGAGTTTATTTGGCAATATTTATTGTTAATCAATCAATCAATAACTAATTCATATATATTTTTAAAACTATTATACTGTATATACCAGTAATTAACTATAACTGTTATTATGATAACTTTTTTGTTGTTGATAAAAGTTTTAATATTATTGATGTCTAAAATTATAATAAATAAAATAATTATTCATAGATAATATACTAATTTTTTATTTATAGTTTAATAGTTTTTAAAAATACATTAAAATTGTCGATAAGTTTTCATGAAAGGATTATCACTTTAGTACTGTATTCAACAATTTAAGTAATTAGTCCTCAACTGTACAAAACTTTTTAAATACTGTATAAACTTTAACATAAAATTAAAAAATTACTTAAACATAATTGATTTAATCTATTAATGTTAACTAAAAATTTATTAAACTAATTAACTATTGAATATTAAATCTCGATAATAATTATAAAATATTTTTCTCAACTTTTTATACACTTTTATTAATAATTTATTAGTTAAATTTTTAGCTACTATTAATAATACAATTTTATACATTATTATTTTTTTTTTGGTTGCAATTTGTATAATTATTTTTACAATTATATATCATTATATTAATTATTTAGTTAATCACAAAAATTTTAGTCATTTAAAATATTAATATTATCAACAAAATTATGAATTAGTCTATAAAATACAGTATTTTTATAACATATATTTGCAAAATAATATTTTGAACAATAATAATATCGTTGATTAATAATAATCAGTAATTAGAATCTATAAATACAATATTAATTTTAATAATTAAACTAAAATATATGTTTAATTTTTTTTAAAAAATAATATAATCATACCTTTTAACAAATAATGATATTATTTTATCAACATTATTACATTGTAAACACATATTTAATTTACATATTTTAATATTTATTTATATATTTATATTTAAGAGATTCAATTTGTTGTCAACATTATTAATTAAAATATATATATATATAATAGCATTAGATGTTAAGGCATTATTCAATCAACAAAAAATTGTTATATAAATATATATTTATATTATTATAATCAGAAAAAATTCAAATCTATTTCAAGGCGTATAAGGAGGCGGTGGAGGCAATGATACGGACGGATGAGTGGCCGGTGTAGGCATTGGATACATTAGGGGACGGGATGTATGATATGGATGCCAATTGTTGGGAACAGCAGTCGATATGGACGACGACGTACCGGTACTTGTAATAAAATCTTCGTCAATATCATCCGTCCAAAAGGCATCGCTAGTCTCAATATAATAGTGTTGCGGTCGTCTCAATAGATTAGAAGCGGCCGCTATAATGGCCAACAAACCGGAAAATGTTACCAAATAGTAGCTCAACTCGAACTTGACTTCGATATGATGCTGACCGACCGGTTCCTGACTACTACCACCGGTACCGATGGTACGAATAGTGGGCAAAACAACAACAGGTATTCCGTCCGATGATGATAAAGATGATGACAGCTTATGGTGTTTTTGGTCTTTCATTATAGTCATCATCAGCCTATACTGTTCCTTTTCCAACAGTGTCGACACCAGATAGGCAACGCCGACAATAATGGCGCACAACAGTACGCCCACAATATTGCCCAATGCGTGCGATCGGACGGCGTTCAGCCATTTTCTGTTGACGCCGAGTGTGTCGAAGAAGAATTGAATCAAATTGAATATAATGGCAAAAAAACATAAACCAATTATCAGCCGCTGAAGTGCCACTATTTCCGGTGTCAAACAGTTCCTGAAGGTTTCGCCGCCATTCATGTCGTACGATGATAGCAGCGGCGGAGGATTTGTCGACAATATATGCGACAGTTCTCGAGTATCCGAAAGTGATTTTGGTTTACTAAATGTCTGTAATATTTTGTCTATATATTGGATATAATTAAAAAAAATAAATAAATAATAATAATATATAAATTTATTAATAATTGGTTATAATTTAAAATTAAATTTAAATTGTTAATTAACTAAAAATAAATAATAAATATTGCAATTTTCTATTTATCTAAAATTTAAAAAAAAGTGATAAAGTATTGACACTAATAATTAAATTAATAAAATTAATATTTAATAATTATTTTTCTTTATGCTTTTAGTTCAAGTTTAAACTCAAAAAAAAAATAAGTTATAATAAGTTAATAATTATTATCATAAATATCTCATTAATAACACATACACTGATGTTTGTGATGACCTAATTTTTTTTATACTAACTATTAAGGTATGTAATTATTACTGTATACTGTAATTACTGTAATAATAATAAAGGGTTTATGATTCATAATATTATAATATTAAAAAAAAACAAACAAATCATATAAAACTAAAATGATATGTAAATACTGTACTAAAACTAAAAAATCAATAATTATAGTAAATGAAAATAAATTCATCATAATTTTTAGATCATTTTATTATTACCGTATTATTAGATAATAATTTAAACATAAAATTAAAATTAAATTAAAAAATACAAACAAATAAACAATAATACCTTTATCTAAGTGATGATAGTTATTAAAATTGGTGACATAGAAGTACTCCTGAAGACCAATGTATTTGCGATCGCAGACACCGCCGGTAATTGAAAACCATTTGGGCTGAGCTAAGGCAGTGGCCAGAGTGGCGATCACTACTATCGACATAATAGCTGATAAAACATTGCGCTCTTTGTCCACACTATTCAGCCGATTGGTTGCCGCCGTATAATCGCTGCTACCGTTATGCAGATGAGCTAATAGACGATTGTCGCGAACCGATGACCAGTTATTATTGTACGAACCGAACAGCAATGGATAGTGGGATGAGTGACGATATAGATGTGAATGTGGTGGTCGTGAAACTGTTGGCCGTCCGCCGCAACCGTTAGCAGTGGTCGGGCTCTGTGCAGGTGTTGTTGTCTGTGAACTGTTGTTGTTGTCGTCTTGGGATTCAAACAGCGATTGTGTGGACTCTCTCCGTGACGATGACGACGACGACAAATGCGGCGGTCGTTGATTGTCATCAGTGGTCACCGAGTCGTCGATAGGTTGCCTACAGATTCTTGCCGTCGATTCCGTATCGGAAACATTCATAGCGTTTGTCGTCGTCGTCGTCGTCGATGATGTCATGTTTTGGTCGTCCGGTCGCTGCTGCCGCCGCCGCCGACCAGATAGCCATCGAAAACGGGACGGAAATCTTGTAACCAATGACTGAATCCGTTGATAGTAACCATTGTTGTTGTTGTTTACTGACGAGTTGTCTGAAGACATTTTATATACGGCGACTAAAAAAACAACGAAAATAGCAGACAAACAGACAAACACTTCAAGACATACAATCGTATTGTTATATCATATATGATATCTGAAGAACTTATAAGTTATAACCAAAACAAACAAACAAACAGTTGTATTGTCCGACAATCATCACAACAAGTGATCCATTAGTTTTGTTGTTGTCTTTTATTATTATTATTATTATTATTATTATTATTATTATTACCCAATCATTCATTCAGTCAATGTATACGACTTTTTTTTAGGTGACGTCTAGACTGCAGATGACTGACTATTACTGTATTATTATTATTAATATTATTGTTGTCATTGAAAATATTGTTTAATAAATTACGTTTAAAATATAAATAAATAAAATAAATATTTTTTTTAAATAAAATTCCCAAATAAATATAATAAAATAACTTAAAATATAATTTTTTTTATATTTATATAGAAAAAAATATTTAAAAATTTATATTAAAAAATTTGATAAATAAATTTCAATATTATATCATTACCAGAACAAACTTTTTTTTTAAATATATAATTTTATTAAAGTTTTATAAGTTTTTATAATAATAATAATAACTATAATAATAACTATAATAATTATTATCTCAACCAAACTTAATGGTATTGTATAATATTTTGTTTGAAAATAAAATACACTTTTTATTAAATAAGTATTTATTTTTTTTCAAAATATTTTAGTTTTTTATGTGCCGTCAAACACATGAATTGTTTTAATGAATTTATTTATTTATTTAATATTAAAAAAAAAAATTATATTAATATTGGTTTTAAAAGTGTTGGTTAAATGCATTAATAAAAATAATTATAAATTTAGATAAACTCAATGGCATTATAATTATTATTATAATAAATTAATTAATGATATAAAACTAAACTAAAAAAATATATTTATTTAATTTATAAAAAAATAAATAATAATAAAATCTGTTTATTAAATTAATTGATAAAAATATATTTAAAATTACATATTTGTTTTTAATTAAAAACATTAATACTGTAATTATATTAATATTAAAAATATTTAATAAAATAAAATTAATAAATACAATAGTTTTCAATGGCTGACGGCTTGCAATCGTGGCATCGATGGTAACATTTGTTTGATTTGTTTGGAGATGATATAACTATTGGGAAAGTCTAATAACTTTAATTGTTGGCCAAATTTGTCCACCAATTTGCCGATAGTTTTGTCACTAATACAGGATAGTGATCTGGTATAGGATGTAAAGTGTGTCAATTGGCTCAACTCGTTGACCACCAAAACAGTCAACTGTTCGTAGATTTTGTCCAAAATGTCATTCATTTTGAATAACTTCAATAATGGATCTTTGATATTGAATATGTGGTTTGAGTCGTTGATTTTGACAACTACTACTTCTTCTTTATCACCACCGATGTCTTCATCTTCGGTGTCTTCATCTTCGGTGTCTTCATCTTCGGTGTCTTCATCTTCGGTGTCTTCATCTTCGGTGTCTTCATCTTCGGTGTCTTCATCTTCGGTGTCTTCATCTTCGGTGTCTTCATCTTCGGTGTCTTCATCTTCGGTGTCTTCATCTTCGGTGTCTTCATCTTCGGTGTCTTCATCTTCGGTGTCTTCATCTTCGGTGTCTTCATCGTCGATCTCTTCCTCTTCGATGTCTTCATCGCCGATGTCTTCATTGACTTTATTATTATCCAATTTATAATCAATTTTAAGCGAAACTTTCGATATGTTTCGACACTTTCTCAACACTAACTGCCAGTTATCTGAAGAGAGTTTCGGATACATTGAGGGATCAAATGTATTGTCGTTCACTGTCTTGAGGTCTACATTGACATTAAGTTCAATGACTTTATTGAATATCAATTGTTGCCATTGTCTGGATGTCGACTCGTATCTGAATTTGTCATCAAATGACAGATACGATAACATCAGTTCTGTTAAGTCGTCGCCGAAGCGCTCGAACGAGTCTTTTGGCAGTAAATTCATTCTTCCCGAGAGTGAGTCCCGAAGTCTTTGGACAAACAGATTAGTAGACAATATATCGGTTTTAAGAAATAGTTTTTTTTACAATAAAACTAATTTTTTTTAAACAAATCTAATGTCAAACTGTATTATACGGTACAGTAGTTTGCAAATAAAATACAGTTTTTTTTCGTTATTGAAAATAATGGAACAGAATCGGTATATGTAACCCATTTGTTGTTCAAGTTTTAAACGCTATTAAAATGATAATTTAACAAGTTTTACATACCAGCCCTCACCTCCCGTTCCTTCCCTCCACATACGCCACTTCCTAACCCTCTACACCCACCCAACCTAACCTAACCTAACCTAACCTAACCTAAAGTAATTGATAGCATTTGTCATAAACTTAATGGTTATAACAACGCGCGTGAAATTTCAACAACAAATGGGTTACATATAACGAACTTTAGCCAAAATAATATATAAATTTTTTGAATCATTTAATTAATTAGTTTTCAAATGTTTCAAACTAAACACGTGAATTGTTTGAAATGCGTGCACACAAACACAAACACACACACACGTGCATTAAAATTATAATTGAAATTTTCATAATTATTCAATTAAATTCAATACAAATGATTAAATTAAATTAAATATATTTATTATTATTTTTTGTGGTTAAATAAATTAAAAAATATATATAGAAATGGTTTGTAGTGTGTCTGTCTGTCTGTCTGTCTGTGTTTAGGGTCGACACTGTTCGTGGTATGGACTGAACGTACGGATGTCCCTCCAAGTCGGCGGCATATAGTTCTGCAAATGACAGTTACATTTACAACAGACTGCAGAAAACAAATTCACATAACTCTTGAGCCAAGTCTGCAAACAAAAAACAATAGAAAAATCATTAAACAACTGTTAATTGATCCCAATATCACTACTACTACCACCACTAATACTACTGACCAGATATGTCTTGATGGCGACATCGCAATGTGTGGGCGAATAATAGTGAAGCATAGCAGCGTTTGCGTGTTCCGATACTTTACGAAATACCCGATACCGTGACTCTGACCATATGTCCAGCCGTTCCAATTCCAGATTGACAACTGCACCACCGCTAGTCGATTCGGGAAATCGTCGCAATCGTTTGGCGTAACTGTTATCATAGTTGCTGTCTTCAAACGATTCGTCAAAACCTTTGACAACAACCCATTCGATGAGTAAACCTCTCAACAGAATAATGGCTTTCAGGACACGCGGTATTGTTATCTTCAGTACTGTCGGCGCACCAAACGGCCGGACAACTTCAATGCCGAGATCGGGTAATACTCGTTGCAAATTATTGATAAACAAATCGATTTGCTGGGCATTAATGTTGTGGCCATTTGGCGGCCGCCGTTGCGGTCGATTTTTCATATACAACGATGTTAGCGATCGTCTCAGCGAATTCTGCTGAAGAAGTGTTGCGGCAATTGTCGAATATTCCATCATTTTGTCGGACCAACGATAAGCGCTAATCATATCCGAGTAGAGATTGGTTTTCTCGTATTGCGGGTCCTGACCTAATAGCGATGAATTACCCAAAGCTGGTAATGAGCTGTTAGTGTTCATCAAACTGGCATTCGGTGGCGATATCAGTGTACAGGCGGTCTCCAGTTCACGGAAACGGGTGTTCACTGCCGACAACAGTGTCTGCAAATCGGTTAGCGCTTGTGTAGCTATTGACGAGTTAACCGAATCGGTTTCGTCAGCGGCCGCGGCAGCGTTGGTAGTGGTATTGGTTGTGCCGGTGGTGACTGAAGATTTGTCGTTAGCGCCGTTGACAACTAGTGGACAGTCGGCCAAACTTTTGAATACATCGCCGACACTGCATCGTAACAGCCGTACGGCTTTCAGTGCCGAATGGACAGCGTCCAGGTTCGGTGTATCGTTGGCCAATTGTTGTTGTTGTTGTTGACCTACTTGTGCCATCATTCACGAGAAGTTTTTTTTAATGTCCACTCACTGGTTGTCCACTTTTTGTTTTGTTTTGACCACTTCTTGTGCCGAAAAAAAATAAAACTCAAAAACTCTTTTGAAAACAAATCAAAACATTGATTGTATTGAAAGCGAGTTATTCACAAATAACGTACACTTTTTTTAAAATGTTTTTTATTTGTATATACTCTTTGTTTGTTTCAAACAAAAAATAACTTAACTAACAATCCGATAGTTTAGTCCATTTTAATGCTAACAATGTACAGTTGATAAGCATTATGTTTATGTAGTCATAAAAAAGTATATATTTATTATATTTATAATAGTTATACTTACGGTATTATTATTAAATTTATTGTACAGCTATTGGCCGCACATTTTGGTGTTTTGCCGACAATTTTAGCGACCAATTAATTGGTGGCCACAAAAAAAATCAACAACAAAAAAGTCATGTCAGCCGACGAAGATATGCCATCGGATGACGAAAATCAACCGAAAGGAGCTACAAGTCGTGGTAGTGGTGGTGGTGGCCATCATCATCATCATCATAACAGCGCTAACGCCGCCGCTATGGATACGGCCGCAGCCGCCGCCGCCGGTGCCGACGCCGATGTTGGCATCGGTAGCGACGGCGACGAAGATCCCACTGGTCTCGAGGGCGCCGCCTTTCAGTCGCGTCTGCCGTACGACAAACTGACTGCACAGGAGGCCCAAGCGTTTCCCGATGTGTCCACTGGTTCTCAATCATCCATCAAAATCTTTCTCTACATTCGTAATCGTATACTTCAGCTATGGATCGATAATCCGAAAGTTCAGTTGTCTTTCGAAAGTAGTTTACCGCAGATCGAAGTGCCGTACAATTCCGATGGACCGCTGGTTATGCGTATTCATTCGTTTCTCGAGCGAAACGGTTTCATTAATTTCGGTGTTTTCAAGCGTCTGAAAGCATTGCCACACAAACGTCACGGCAAAGTGATTGTCATCGGTGCCGGTATTGCCGGTCTGATTGCCGCACAACAACTGACACAGTTCGGTATGGAAGTTACCGTACTGGAGGCCAGAGATCGGGTGGGCGGCCGTGTAGTAACCTTTCGAAAGGGTAACTTTATTGCCGATTTGGGTTCAACAGTTGTAACCGGTTTGGGCGGCAATCCGGTGGCCATTATTGCCAAACAGATTAACATGCAGTTGCATAAAATCAAACAAAAGTGTCCGCTCTATGAGTCCAATGGCAATACTGTGCCGAAAGACAAGGACGAAATGGTCGAACGCGAATTCAATCGACTACTTGAGGCCACAAGTTATTTATCACATACATTGGACTTTAATTCATTAAACGGTCGATCAGTTTCATTGGGACAGGCATTGGAATGGGTGATACAATTGCAGGAAAAGAGTGTCAAAGAAAAACAAATACAACACTGGAAGGCAATATCCGACTTACAGGAGAAGCTGAAGACAAATCTGAATCGAATGTTGAGTTTGAAAGAGAAAATTGAATTTCTGTCGAAACAGCACAAAGAATTGATGGACAAAAAGGGACCGAAACCTGATATAACTAAAGAATTTGTCGTCCGATCGACGGCACGGGATCTGAACGCCGCTTGTCGTCAATGGGATGCACTGGTCGAAGAACAGAAGGAGATTGAAGAAAAAATACAAGAACTGGAAGCGGCGCCGCCCAGCGATGTCTACCTGTCCTCCAGGGACAGGCAAGTACTGGACTGGCATTTTGCTAATCTGGAGTTTGCCAACGCAACACCATTGAACAATTTGTCGCTGAAACACTGGGATCAGGATGACGATTTCGAATTTTCCGGTAGTCATCTAACTGTTCTCAATGGCTACTCGTGCGTACCCGTAGCGCTGGCCGAAGGTCTTGATATTAAACTCAATACGGCTGTCCGTGCTATACGTATAACACCGACCGGTGCCGAAGTTACCACTTATAATCCCCGGCTGTCGAATACCAGTTCGAATACATCGTTATCGAATCCATTGATGACATACAAAGGCGATGCCATATTGTGTACACTACCGTTGGGTGTACTCAAACAGGCTGTCCAAACCAATTCAGTTGGTCCCACCGGTAATCTCGTTCAGTTTCTACCGCCGCTTCCCGAATGGAAGGTCGCTGCCATCCAGAGACTCGGCTACGGAAACCTGAATAAAGTTGTCCTATGTTTTGATCGGATATTCTGGGACCAGGACTCGAATCTATTCGGTCACGTCGGCAGTACCACTGCTTCCAGAGGTGAACTGTTTCTGTTCTGGAGTCTCTACAGAGCACCCGTTCTCATGGCATTAGTTGCTGGAGAAGCGGCCGGTATTATGGAAAATGTTAGCGACGACATCATCATCAGTCGTTGTCTAACAGTTTTGCGAAGTATTTTCGGTGCCACAGCTGTACCTAATCCTAAGGAAACAGTGGTTACCCGTTGGAGAGGCGATCCCTGGTCTAAGGGTTCCTATTCGTTTGTGGCCACTGGATCGTCGGGCAACGATTACGATGCATTGGCCGCACCCGTAGCCGTACAGTTGCCCCAATCGATTACACAATCGCCGCCAACAACAGCAACAACAACAACAGCCGGAACATCTATACCGCCGCGACTGTTCTTTGCCGGCGAACATACCATACGTAACTATCCGGCCACTGTTCACGGAGCACTTCTTAGCGGACTTCGGGAATCGGCCCGCATTGCCGACCAATTTGTCGGCTGTCCATACGCTCTACCGACACAATCGACATAATCTTTAAAAACGTAATTATTCGTTGTTGTTGTTGTTTGTTATAACGAAAACCATTTGATAAGATTTTTTAATTTTAATTTTTTGATTTCTATTAATTAAAACACAAATACAGTACTATTATATTATTATTATTATTAGCTAAAAATTTATGTCATTATACTAAACAATTAATTCATTTAATTTGATATTTCGTATTATAAATATATATTTATATTTATTATTATTTTTTTTTGTCGAAACGATTTGTTTTTTTTTATAAAGTTTGTTTTTTATATTGTTAATTATCATTATTATTGCACTGATTTCAATTTAATTTGGTCAATAAAATTATATTATTATTATTATTATTGATAATGTAATTTTTAAATATAAAATAAAATTGACACTTAATAGTTAAATAGATATATTATTTTGCATTTAATTTTTTAAAATCACATTTAGAGTATTAAAGTTATTAAACAAGCGTACAATTATACTGTATATACAGTATATATGTGGGATAAATACAATTTACAATTATGATACTACTGTATAATTTATAGCTAAATTATAAAACAAAACAAAAAACAAGTTTAATAACAATCTATACAAATAATAACAATTTACAATCACTATTACGGTAAGCATACATACATATACAAGGATTATAATTATATATACTGTATATATATTGTAATTACAATAATAATAATTAAAAAAAATTAATATTAAATCGTTAGCAAACATTTTAGGATTATATAGAAATTAAAATATAACTATAATTAAAATTATTTTTTTTAAATCTAAAATATTTTTACGGAAAACACCAAAAAACAAAAATCTTAAGGCACTGCCTATTGATTAGTTGTGTCCCAACTGTTTTAATTTGATAATAAGGCACTGTTGGCACTGCTTTTGATTGTCATTGCAATTCACGGCAATTCATGATACATGTATTATCAGACAATTAAAAAATAGATAATAATAATAATAATAATATAAGAAACTAAAATATGATTAAAAATAAAACTAATTATATCTAATGTTATAATAAATTAACTGTAAGTACGAAATCAAATAATCATATCATAGAAACTAAGAAATAAAAAACATTTTTACAATCAATCAATAATCAGAATAACATATGTGTGAATAAAATTGTATTTAAAAAAAAAATTGTTTAAAAATAAGAGACAAAATCAAACACTTTTGGCTTTAGATTTCGTTTTCTTTATCAGGAAATCCATGGGTACGGTGTCGACCATCGATGACCATCAGTTTGGCACCAGCTTTGGTTTCGCCTTCAGAATTTTTGGCCACACAATAATAGGTTCCCTGATCTACGTGTGTAATATCCAGTACCTGTAGCCAACCGGTTACCTCATAATTGCTGGGACCGCCTCTCGACTGGACAGCAATGTGCGGATCATCGCTCGGCAGGGCCTTGGCGTCGGTGTCTCGCTGTACGTGCCATTCAATGGTCGGTACGGGCCATCCCTTGACCTCACACGAAAAGGCAACATAACTGCCACTCTTGTTGCGTATGTCTTCGGGCGGCGAGACAATTGTTGGCACTGATAGTATCGCACAGAAAAACACAATACATTTATATACTATTATATAATGAATATAAATATATTACATACCTGTCCTACACGGGCCACGACTAGCGGCAATCAAGCCGTCGCGTCTCTTATAGCGCTCTTCATTCAGCAGACAGTCGTTATCGTAAGTTTTGCCATCGGATCCGCAAATCGGTTCATCTTTTAGACAAAAGCAGACGGCTTCGGGCGGATCCGTGGCCTCCATATCTGTTCTCAGATTGCAAATCATATTTTCGCCGCAATCCGGATATATGTCATAACTTCGGGCCAATTTTGATCTCAATGTCTCATTGAAACATCGTTCGCCTTCCCGTTGACCACAAATGGGACAACAGTTGCATTGATCCTAATATATCATAAAAATTTAGATTTTTTTCAAAAATTTTAATTAATTTCTTAATAACTAATTTAATAAAATAACTAAAAAACAAATTAAAAAACAAATAAATAAAAAATTAGACCAACTTTTATAAGACCTGCCAAACAATCTTCTGGTGGCAAACACTTCTTCAGATCGCAATCTTCGCTGCATTTGTTGTTCTTATTGTCTGCAATGACACCAATCACTACATGGATCAGCAAAACTACTAACAAACTGTATGTTTGCTGCTTTGATATCATAATTGATAATAAAAAATTTATTTATTAATAAAATTAAATTTATTAATTATAAAAAAACAATTTCGACCAAGATTAGTTTTTTTAGACAAACAAACAAAAATTTTTAATTATACAACTTTATACTACTTAATAAAATTTATAAATAAATTTTTAATATATATATATATATTTTTGATTAACAAAATAATTTTTATTAATCTCTCTAATAGATAGACAAAAATTTTATTTAAACATTGGGCTAATCATCCAAATGTTTATTATTATTACTAATATTATTATTATTATTATTAAAATAGACTGATATGTTATATATTTTAAAACGCCATTCAATGGTATGGTATGTAATATCAGTAAACTTTATAAAGTATACAGTAATAAGTGTCGGTTCCCTATTTTTATGCCTCTCTTTCTCTATCCCATTGCTGAATAGGGTGTGTCCCCCACATAACTGTTGAATATATAGCTGATTATAATAATAAAAAAAAAATTTGTTTACTCTTTCTTAGTTTCTTATTTTAAACATTTTATATATCAATAGACATAACACTATACATACTGTACATACATTTTTCAGATATCTTACAGTACAGATGGTATAGTCATCTGTGGGGAAGGAAAGCCCTAAAAATAAGTCTCCAAAAAAAAAAAATTTTCGTTTGATTCAAAAATTCCTAAAAATTCAAATCCTAAATAGTTTACCAGTAGTTTTGTGTATATAGTAATTGAAAATTGTGGTAATAATAATACTGTAATTTATTTATATATTTCACATAATTGGTTATGACCCCCCCCCCCATGTCATAACCCGGAATCATATATATATATATATATCTGTCTAATATTGATGTATATATATATTGGTTAGCAAATCAAATATGATTAATAATAATTGAATTGAATTCACTAACCCTTTAAGTGATTTTTTAAATGTTTTTTTTTTAATAAACTGATGCAATATCTTAATACATTTAAAGTATATTTGTATATAAATAAAATACTTATTTATTTTTATCAATAATGGCATGTATTTAAAAAATAATAATATTTGTCATTAAAATAAATAAATAAATAATAATAACTAATATACAATATATTTTTGCCTTATAATGAATTTTTTTTTTAAAGATAACTTCCTTATGATTTTTGTATATAATGTTGAATAGTGAATAAAAATTTACAAATAATCTACTTTTTTCAGTTATTTTTTTACATTTTCATCATTTTATTTAAGGAAAAAAATAATTATAAATATATTATTTACAACAAATTTTAGTACAAATAAATAAATATAATATACAGTATATATTTAGGACAACAGAAATATTATTATTTTTTTACATTGAATCCCAATATTGATTAAACTGTTTTGAATAGATTGTCACCAAATTTGGTTCATTAGTTATAATCATATCTTCATAATTATTGTTCAATCCATTGGCTGTCCAATTGAATGAACCATTGATTAGTATATTGTTGTCAACGATGGCAAACTTGTTGTGCATATAACCAGACCGTATGGCTCTTAACTGTTTAACTTGAATACCATTTCTGGTAAAAACTTTCGACGACTTCTTCTCGATTTCGTACGTATTGGTCAACTGATAGCCAAACGACTGGTCGTTGTGTCTTAAGCTAAAATCATTGGTAATAACTCTTATACGGACACCCGTACGGTGTAGTCGTATACATTCGGCTATCAATTTCGACAACGATATCGAATAGACACATATGTCTACCGATTGTTTGGCCGATTTTAATGTCGACAATAGTTTACCGATGACCAGATCTTTGGCCAACAATCTGCAGTTGTCATTGTCACCATCACTATCTGATCCCATCAAAAAAATAATAAAACTTAATAAGTTAATAGTGATATTGAAATATTGAAAAATACAACATTTTTTGTGATATAAAACACAAGTTTTTTATATATATATATAAAAAGTTATGAATATATGCACAAATAAATATCATATAATTTATAGCTTATTACTTGCGTGGACACTATCAATGTTGGGAACAAATAGGACAGTATTATTATTATTATTATCATCATTATTATCTACAACTACACCACCATCATCATCATCATCATCATCGGTGGTACAGTTATTGTTGACTTGTTTGACAACTTTATTATTATTATTGGCCAATAAATATGATATATAGACACGAATCATATAGCATATGAATATTATCGTTATGTAGACTATTATATTGTAGTAGACATCATAAGTAATTGTTGTTGACATTTGTGGCATTTTTTTGTGAGGGTCTTTATCATCGGCTATTACCATAAACTGTAATCATATATATATGATAATAGTTTTACATAATATAGTTAAATACAGTTAAATTTGCTGGTATTATACTGTATTTAAAAAAAACATAATTATATAATTAGATAGTCATAATATTATACAATACAGTAATAGCAATAGTGGATCGCACTGTGTATATATGATATTACAATTAAATGATGTTTTTGTTGTTGAAAAAAAATTTATATCATATATGTTAATATATAACACATAACTTTTTTTTGAATTATGGTGTGGCCTTAATATCAAACTTTTGTAATAAATATTTGTGTAACTAAAAATGTATTGAATAAATGTAACTAAAAATAAAAATTATTGTACATTTTCATAAATAATATTTTATAGCACATATAAGATACTGTACTGTAAATATCACTATAAATTAGTATTTAATATATTTTTATTATAATATTTGATACATTATTGATAACTTTTTATATATATAAAACATTGGAGTTATATTGAAATAAGTAGCTAAAGTGTAATCAATTTTTTTAGTATTGAATTCACATTTTTTCTCTCTCTTTCCAAAAAAAAAACTAAATGAGTTTAAGATTTTTTTTATTGTTAATCTAATGTATTGTATTGTTTTATTTTCTATACATATAATTATACTATATATAGATGTGTCTAATATTTAATTGAATAGTCAATACTAACACTAATATATAATATAATATAATAGATTAGAGTTTAATCATTGAAGCAAAATAGTAGACGAAAAGTTTTAATCAATTACTGTTTGACTCGTTAGTGTGTGTGTATCTATGCATGTATGTATGTACAGTATATGTGTGTATGTATGTGTGTGTGTGAGTGTATGTATGTATGTGTGTGTGTGTGTGTGTGTGTGTGTGTGTGTGTGTGTGTGTATGTATGTATGTATGTATGTGTGTGTGTGTATGTATGTGTGTGTGTGTATGTATGTATGTATGTGTGTGTGTGTGTGTGTGTGTGTGTGTGTGTATGTATGTGTGTGTGTTTTAGTTGGGCTCAGACCTAATGAAAAGATAAGTCATTCATTCCTCCTCTTTAGGCATCAATTGAACTATTTTTCTCTATTATTCATTTTATTATATTATTGAATATATACTTTATATACAGTATATAGATATATATATAAGTTATATTTGAATTGAACTTATTTATTGATTTTTGTTTTCCTATTTAAATCTATACATTTAAACACAAACACACACACAACCAATACTATAGTAATTTATTTTTTTTAATATAGATATTTGAGGTGATATTTAAATGTAAGGAAATTTTTTCGTTGTTGATGTTGAGTATTATATTAAATTTTAAGGCAAATATAACTAATATTGTACAACAAATCTTATGATGTGAACATCATTTTACTTTTAATTAGCTATCAATAATAATAATAATAATAATAATGCCTTTATATTGAAATAAATAAATACAGTAAAACCGAAACGCTTTGTCGGCAAATAAGTTCAACTGTACTTTTATACTGTATATGTAATAATGAAAAAAAGTATATATAAGTATTGACTATTATATCATACTATTATATTTTATTGAAAAGATTTGCTTAAATTTTAAATATAATACTAATAATAATAGCAATTGAATGGTAAATAATGTGTGGAAACTATTTTGTCAAATATTTTGTTGTTATAATTTTTTTTTTTGGTGAACACTATTAAATGGTTTTTATTATTATTATTATTAAGCAAAAATTTTATTTAAATTATCAAATATTTAAACACATAGTATACAGTATAAGTTTATAAATTTTACTGCAATATAATTTTAAAAAAATAATTTATAGATTTTAATATTAAAAAAATGTTTTGAAAACATTTTATTATAATTCAACACAATTTATATTAAATACAATTGATTGTTTTTTGAAAAAAACAAACAAATAATACCTAGCTACTTTGATTAATTAATTTAATCACTATATAATAAGGTTACAAATAATTATTATTTACAAATAAAATAATAATAATGAGTATAATATTAATTCAAATCTTTTATATATATATATAAATATTTTTTATAATAAAAAAAAACTAATTTAAAGTTTTATGGTTCGGCGCTATCATCCCATTCGAGATCCTTATTATTGGAGACAACATTAAAATAGTCGAAATCGTCCTCTTTTTGGACCGATTTGGTTGTAAATACTGAACGACCACTAGTGTACATTGTTTGGACAAACCGATACTTTTGTCGGCACAGGTAGGTTATAGTTATAATACCAACAGTGCTCATAATCATCGCTAGAATAAGTATTAAAAGAAACAAATCATTACCAGATCTACAATCAAAATCATCCGAAGTCAATGAGCCGATAGATCGTCCGGACAGTCCGGACGGTTCATAACATTTAGTTGTATTCATTAGACGGTGTTTGGTATCAACCATTGCCGGCAACCATTTCATACGGCAATCGCATATCCATGGATTACCTGACAGATCGATACGACTAACTGTTTGCCAGTTAACCAACTGATCGCTTAATGTTTTAAATGAGTTATGTCTTAGTATAAGACTAGACAAACCTGACGGCTGTTCAGTCGTCAGATTATTAGTAAAGGCTTTTGAATGGATTTCAGTTAATCGATAGTTATGTTTGCAAACAAATATCTGTAGACTTTGAAGATCACCGAAAGCGTAGGGTTTTATGCTTTCCAATGATGACATCCTTTCGAGTCGTAATTCAGTTAAAGACTTTAAGCCCATGAAGTCATTGTATTCAATGGTTTGAAGTTTTGTTGCACTCATATCGAGTAATCGGAGTCCAGGAGCCGATTGTAGGCCTGCGTTGGGCACTGTCTGGAAATTATTACCACTCAAATACAACGACTTGAGCTTATAGTTTGTCGAAAATATATGATCCGGAAGATCACGGAGACCTGTCGTCTCCAAGTTTAGGATTTCTAATTGAGGCAAATGTTCAAAAGCACGATATGTTAGACCAACTGATCCGATGTCGTTATGATTTAGATATAATTGACGAAGACGTCGACTACTGGGACTGAATACACTGCTGTCCCAACTTTGGATCAGATTATAGCTGAGGTCAAGTGTCTGCAACAATTGAAGTCCATCGAAAAGATTTGTGTCCAAATTCCAGAGCTGATTGTGCGCTAATACCAGCTTCTGGAGGTTTTCCAGCGGCTGAAACACCGAATGATGTATATAATCAATATTATTGTTGGACAGATCCATTACATTGACATGCCTTCCCTCGACAAACGTATTTTGAACTATGGATTTGATTTTATTATTATTGAATAGTATAGTATCGATGTTATCGGGAAATCGTATGAATTGACTTGTATTTTGCAGATCTCTATCGGAACAGTCGATAGTTGTTGTTGTTGTTTGGCTGTGGGAACTGTCGATCTCGACAACCGTACCATTAGTATTGGTGGTAACTACTGGACACTGGCACTGGTAGGCACGGGATTTGCATAATTCCTGATATCCGTCATCGATGACGACACCGACAACTGGTTCGCAATAGACAACTGTCAACGATAGCCATAATAAAAATGGCTGAATATATATCAACTTGAAATTCATGATAAGGTTTCCTATTTTTTTTATCTTACTTTCCCTTTTTGTTGTTGTTGTTGTTGTAGTTTATTTGAAATAATGCCGATATATATTAATAATAGTTATATTTTTTATTTAGTACTTAAATAAGATAAAAAAAAACACTCGAGAAATATATAGTTTGATATAAAAAAAAAAGGGTAACACATAAAATATACACAAAAAAATACTTATATTTATTACATATCATTCAAGTGTATTAAATCCCAACTATATTAAAACATTAGTAAAAAATGTAAGATTTTTTCAAGTAATAAAAATTAATAAAAATTTTCTACAAAATAATAATAATCATAATAATAATGTTTCATGAATTTTGTAACTTTTTTTTAATATTAAGTTTTTTTTAAGTGTTGTATAGTATAACATAACACAACATAACTTTTATTATATGTGACTTTATATAAAGTTATATTAGTTTTATGACATAAGAAAT